TTATCACAGGATCCAGTTTATGTGTTAAATTAGCCATATTTTCAGTCTATAAGTTGCAATAGCAACCAAAGTTTTATACATAAGAAAAAATAAAAAATATGCATAATCTTCAGACTGCCATCTATCCATGTATCAAGTTTCATAAACAAGAAACATGGCAATGCCACGAAACCAGGTTTTCAATTATCTCCATTGTAGATAAATATGTTGTATTTGTAATACAAATGCAAGCAATAAACAATGTAACTATGTGCAATGTAAAACATGAATAATGTAGGAGGAATTGCCACAGAAGAAGTGTTCACTGTATATTCTGTATAAGGAAAAAATGTATTCTGTACAAGGAAAAAAAACAAAGGGCCATAATTAGGTCAAAAATTATCCAATCACAAAACCTCTACAATATGCGCCAGGGCACATGATGACAAAGCTTCTGTGAAAGTTTGAACAAAATCTGTTGAGAAATGTAGGACTAGTTCAGCACAGAAGAATTTGTTCACTATATATTGATAATTCTGTATAAGGAAAAAAAACAAAGGGGCATAATTAGGTCAAATATTATCCAATCACAAAACCCTAACAGTATGCGCCAGGGCACTTGATAACAAAGCTTCTGTGAAAGTTTGAACAAAATCTGTTGAGAAATGTAGGACTAGTTCAGCACAGAAGAATTTGTTCACTATATATTCTTTATAAGGAAAAAAACAAAGGGCCATAATTACATCAAATATTATCCAATCACAAAACCCCGACAATATGTGCCAGGGCACTTGATAACAAAGCTTCTGTGGAAGTTTGGTCAAAATCCATTGAGAAATGTAGGAGGAGTTGCGCACAGAAGAAATTGTTCACTATATATTCTATATAAGGAAAAAAAACAAAGGGCCATAATTAAGTCAAATATTATCCAATGGCAAAACCCGGACAATAAGTGCCATGGCACTTGATGACACAGCTTCTGTAAAAGTTTGGTCAAAATCCGTTGAGAAATGTAGGAGGAGTTGCGCACAGAAGAAATTGTTCACTATATATTCTATATAAGGAAAAAAAAAAAAGGGCCATAATTAGGTCAAATATTATCCAATGGCAAAACCCGGACAATATGTGCCAGGGCACTTGATGACAAAGCTTCTGTAAATGTTTGGTCAAAATCCATAGAAAAATATAGGAGGAGTTGCGCACAGAAGAAATTGTTCACTATATATTCTATATAAGAAAAAACAACAAAGGGCCATAATTAGGTCAAATATTATCCAATCGCAAAACCCCGACAATATGTGCCAGGGCACTTGATGACAAAGCTTCTGTGAAAGTTTGGTCAAAATCCGTTGAGAAATGTAGGAGGAGTTGCGCACAGAAGAAATTGTTCACTATATATTCTATATAAGAAAAACAACAAAGGGCCATAATTAGGTCAAATATTATCCAATCGCAAAACCCCGACAATATGTGCCAGGGCACTTGATGACAAAGCTTCTGTGGAAGTTTGGTCAAAATCCATTGAGAAATGTAGGAGGAGTTGCGCACAGAAGAAATTGTTCACTATATATTCTATATAAGGAAAAAAAACAAAGGGCCATAATTAAGTCAAATATTATCCAATGGCAAAACCCGGACAATAAGTGCCATGGCACTTGATGACACAGCTTCTGTAAAAGTTTGGTCAAAATCCGTTGAGAAATGTAGGAGTTGCGCACAGAAGAAATTGTTCACTATATATTCTATATAAGGAAAAAAAACAAAGGGCCATAATTAGGTCAAATATTATCCAATGGCAAAACCCGGACAATATGTGCCAGGGCACTTGATGACAAAGCTTCTGTAAATGTTTGGTCAAAATCCATAGAAAAATATAGGAGGAGTTGCGCACAGAAGAAATTGTTCACTATATATTCTATATAAGAATAACAACAAAGAGCCATAATTAGGTCAAATATTATCCAATCGCAAAACCCCGACAATATGTACCAGGGCACTTGATGACAAAGCTTCTGTGAAAGTTTGGTCAAAATCCGTTGAGAAATGTAGGAGGAGTTGCGCACAGAAGAAATTGTTCACTATATATTCTATATAAGAAAAAACAACAAAGGGCCATAATTAGGTCAAATATTATCCAATCGCAAAACCCCGACAATATGTGCCAGGGCACTTGATGACAAAGCTTCTGTGAAAGTTTGGTCAAAATCCGTTGAGAAATGTAGGAGGAGTTGCGCACAGAAGAAATTGTTCACTATATATTCTATATAAGAAAAAACAACAAAGGGCCATAATTAGGTCAAATATTATCCAATGGCAAAACCCCGACAATATGCGCCAGGGCACTTGATGACAAAGCTTCTGTGAAAGTTTGGTCAAAATCCGTTGAGAAATGTAGGAGGAGTTGCGCACAGAAGAAATTGTGAACGCCCGCCCGCCCGTCCGCCCGCCCGTCCGCCCGCCCATCCGCCAGCCGACATACCTCAATCTAATAACCAGTTTTTTCCTTCGGAAAACCTGGTTAAAAATATATTCAGTACTTTTTGCATTATCGCGGGATCCAATTTTTCGGATGGACGGACATCTGTCTGACCGAATAGGGATAAAGGGCCCTTTCTATTGTTACTTGTATTTTCTTTTGTTTAATAGAGGGTCATGGTCCCTTACTCTATTGTTATGGAATGAATTCTATTGTTCTCTTTTGTTCTGTTTACAGTTAGATGCCCCCCCTATCCCTATTCGGTACTGCAGATGGATGGAGGGTAAATCTAAAGTCTCCTCTGGTTAAACCGGTAGGGGACTCATTAAAACAACAGGACACAGTTAGAATTGAATTCCTAATATCTTATAAAATTTTATAACTAGAACTATCACTAAATGTGATTAATACACCCCCCCAGACTGCTTTGGAAAAGAGGATGTTACTACTAACAGAATACCTTGTAAAAGAACTGAAATAGAGTTATGGTAGTGGGCAATTCAAGATAGTTGTGGTTCTTGTATATTGCATTTCCTTTCAATGTGGTTGGCCATTGATGAAGTTTTATTGAATTAAGGAGGCAGTACACGTTTAGTTTCGAATATACAAATAAAAGACAGTTTTGAAATTGAAGAGGATATTTGAGGTTCTAAATATTTATAGTTGCTATATTTCAAGTTTCAATGACTAGTATTGTGTTTCAGTTATTTAGTAAAATTGAATTTAGTGGCGTTGACCCTTGCATTTGGAGAGAGTACCTGTCGGATGCGAATGTGTGGTTTTTGGAGCTAGCCGGTGAATCAGCTCTTCAATTTAAAGGGTATGCAGAAGACTTAGAATAGTGAAAAAAGTAGGTGGATGGCACCCTGTTTGGGTGTGATTTTCAGATTATGCATCGTTTAAGAAGGAAGAAACACTATAGCTTGTGATTTAATTTTTTGACGTTAATATATTGTTGTATTTTGCAAATAAGTATAATCTGCTCTATTTGTCATTGATTTTCGCGACAAAACAATGAAAAACACAGGGCTATGTGCCAGAAAACTAGAAGGTGGACATGTATTTTTAATTGTTTGCTGTGAGATACATATGTATATGTTAAATATGAAATGCATTTATTTCAGGTGTGTGATTACAGACTTGTGTGTCAGGTTTTAGTCACTTGTTTACCGAGAAGCCTTGAAAACTGTGTATTGTCCCCTTACTCTGTAATAAGTCCAGAAAGACAAGGAAAAGGAACAAAGGGCAATAACTCTATAAATACTGAAGATTAGTCCAAATAGAGTTATGGTTCTTGTGCACTGCACTTCATCTCACTGCCCATGACCATTGTATAAAGTTTCATTGAATTTCAACCATTAATTTTCAAGTATTGCATTGGACAATAAAAAGTAACAAAGGGCAAAAACTTTTGAATGAGTCATGAAAGAGTTATGGTTTCTATGCAGTGCGCTTCCTCTCAATATACTTTGACCATTGTATGAAATTATATTGAATTCCAACATATAGTTTTCAAGTTATGCTCCAGACAAGGAAAAGTAACAAAGGGCAATAACTCTGTTATAAATCAAGATAGAGTTATGGTTCTTGTGCACTGTACTTCCTCCTATTGTGCTTGACCATTGTATGAAGTTATATTGAATTCAAAACATTAGTCTTCAAGTTATGCTCTGGACAAAAAAAGCAATGGAAAAGTAACAAAGGGCAATAACTCTGAAATTACTTAATATAGAGTTATGGTTCTTGTGCACTGCACATCCACTTATTGTGCTTGACCATTGTATGAAATTGTATTGAATTCCAACTAAATCTTTTTAAGTTATGGTCTGGACAAGGAAAAGTAACAAAGGGTATTTACTATGTAATTAGTCAAGATGGAATTATGGTTCTTAGGCACTGCACTTCCTCTCAATGTGCTTGACCATTTTATGAAGTTATATTGAATTTCAACTATTAGTCTTCAAGTTATGGTCCGGACAAAAGAAAGCAATGGAAAAGTATCAAAGGGCAATTACTCTGTAATTACTTTAGATAGAGTTATGGTTCTTGTGCACTGCACTTCTCTTTATTGTGCTTGACAATTGTATGAAGTTGTTTTGAATATCAACCAGTAGTTTTCAAGTTATGCTCCGGACAGAGAAAAGTAACAAACGGCAATAACTCTGTAATCAATCAAAGTGGAGTTATGGTTCTTGTGCACTGCACTTCCTCTCAATGTGCTTGACCATTGTATGAAGTTATATTGAATTCCAACCATTAGTTTTCAAGTTATGCTCCGGACAAAGAAAATGCAACAGACTGCTGGACCAACCGACCAACCGAACGACCACCAGGTGATTCCTATATACCCCCCAAACTTCGTTTTGGGGGTATAATAATTATATGAATGAAAATGCCATTAAGTAAACAAAATGCCTTATTAAAGTACAAGTCACATCAGCAATAAGCCAATATCCAGGTCAATCCTCTAACATTAAGCTCACTTTTTTTTTTTAGCTTTTATTGTTGAAGGGAAAAAGACTTAAAGAACAGGTTAACTTGTTACCTGACACCAGGCACTTCAGTGTGGATGTACTTGATAGCTAATGCAACTTGGAGAAGAATCTTTACTCTCTTCTGTGCATTCAGTTTCAGGACCTGCTGCGTCCTGTCATGTTGGAGGACTTGATCAAGATCACCGTTTTCACAAAGTGGAGAGACAAACCAAAATTCTTTTTTCCTGAAATATTTAAGTTCTATTAAAGGGTTTCTTTAAGTATAAAAAAGTATATTTATCATATTAATGATTTAAAGATTAAAACTTAAATGTGTCCATAAGAAACAAGAGCTGTCACCCAAGTGATGAATGCCCCCGAAAAGAAAATAGAATGAAAGTAACTAATTTCTGAATATTGTTATTTGTATAATTGTACCTGTAATCTCTAATTGTGATAGCATGATGATGAACCTTCAAAATATAAGTGTGACCTTGACCTTTGAAGAAGGGACTTGGTTCCTGGATGCTACAAAATGTTGTTATGAGATAGACTTTTGTGCCAAATTATTTCAAAATCCCTCAAGACATTACAAACTTACAGTCTGTACATGATTGTTGCATAAGAAGGGACACATGGACAGATGGACATGAGCCTTAGCCGCGACACATTGTCTTGATGTGGTAGTCATTTGTGCCAAGTTATTTTAAAATCATTCGATGCATGACAGACATTTATGCCTAGTTATTTTAAAATCATTCGATGCATGACAAAGTTACAGTCCTGACATGAATGTCCTATCTTCAAACTCTTCTCGAAAGAATGACTACCTTAAAACTATAAGTGTGACCTTGAAGGTAGGGACATGGGTCTTTGTCGTGACATGTGGTCTTGATCTGGTAGACATTTATGCCTAGTTACTTTAAAATCCTTCGATACATGACAAAGTTACAGCCCGGACACGAATGTGTGTACCTATAAATTCTAATTGTGATAAAGTGAACTTCAAAATGGTAGTGTGACCTTTACATTTGAAGAAGGGACGAGATTATTGGACACGACACATCGTCTTGATGTTGTAGACATTCATGCAAAGTTATTTTAAAATACTTCCATGCATGACAAAGTTACAGCCCGGACAAGATTGTGTGATTGTGTGTATCTATTAATTCTAATTGTGATAATGTGAAACTTCAAAATGTCAGTGTGACCTTGACCTTTAGGCAGGGACGTAATTCTTGAACCTGACACATCGTCTTCATGTGGTAGACATTTATGCCTAGTTATTTTAAAATCATTCGATGCATGACAGACATTTATGCCTAGTTATTTTAAAATCATTCGATGCATGACAAAGTTACAGTCTGGACAGCCTCCTCTCCAAAATTCAAGACATAGAGACAAACATAAATGAAAAGAATCAGAAAACTTTATCTGATTTACATTCAAAACTGGAAAGTATAACAAGAGGGCCATGATGGCCCTGAGGTCGCTCACCTGTATATAGCCCCCCCCCCCGGCCAATTTTTACCCAAGGGCTTTTATTTGAACAGACTTGGTAGACACCCATAAGAAGATGTTTCATGCTAAACATCTAAGTTCTAGCTCATTGGGTTTTTTAAAAGAAGATTTTTTAAGTTTTTACTACACACATATAGTTAAAAACAATGACACCCCTGGGGCAGGGCCAGTTTTGACCCCAGGGCTTTTATTTGAACAAACTTGGTAGACATTCACTAGAAGATGTTTCATGCCAAATATCTAAGCTCTAGCTCTTACGGTTCTTTAAAAGAAGATTTTTTAAGTTTTTACTATATGCATATAGGGAAAATCAATGACCCCCCGGGGCGGGGCCAATTTTGACCCCAGGGCTTTTATTTGAACAAACTTGGTAGACACTCACTGGAAGATATTTCATGTCAAATATCTTAGCTCTAGCTCTTTGGGTTCTTTAAAAGAAGATTTTTTAAGTTTTTACTATATGCATATAGGGAAAATCTATGACCCCCCTGGGGCAGGGCCAATTTTGACCTCAGGGCTTTTATTTGAACAAACTTGGTAGACACTCATTAGAAGATGTTTCATGCTAAATATCTTAGCTCTAGCTCTTTGGGTTCTTTAAAAGAAGATTTTTTAAGTTTTTACTATATGCATATAGGGAAAATCAATGACCCCCTGGGGCGTGGCCAATTATGACCCCAGGGCTTTTATTTGAACAAACTTGGTAGACATTCACTAGAAGATGTTTCATGCCAAATATCTAAGCTCTAGCTTTTACAGTTCTTTAAAAGAAGATTTTTTAAGTTTTTACTATATGCATATAGGGAAAATCAATGACCCCCCCGGGCCGGGGCCAATTTTGACCCCAGGGCTTTTATTTGAACAAACTTGGTAGACACTCACTAGAAGATGTTTCATGCCAAATATCTTAGCTCTAGCTCTTTGGGTTCTTTAAAAGAAGATTTTTTAAGTTTTTACTATATGCATATAGGGAAAATCAATGACCCCCTGGGGCGGGGCCAATTTTGACCCTAGGGCTTTTATTTGAACAAACTTGGTAGACACTCATTAGAAGATGTTTCATGCCAAATATCTAAGCTCTAGCTCTTACGGTTCTTTATAAGAAGATATTTAAAGATTTTTCTTTCGGTTGCCATGGCAACCAGAGTTCTGCATGAAATGGAATTCTTTGAACAATCTTGATAGAGCTTCATACAAAGAGTATTCCTGCCAAGTTTCATTAAAATTGGCCTTGCGGTATCATAGAAGATGTCCTTAGAATATTTAAAATGTGGACGGACGACAGACGACGGACGCCATTTGGTTGGCCATCCTAAAAGCTCACCTGCACTTTGTGCAAGGTGAGCTAAAAACTTAGAAAATAAGTGGTCATATGATAAGATCAAGAGCACAATGGATAGATGAGGGGGTAAAACCAAGTAATTGTTTTTGTAATTCAGGAAAATATAATTATGCTAGTAAAATAAATCCATACCTACAAAAATATAGATGGGTTTTTTTATCTATGACCAAAAATCAATATTAAATGAGACTAAAACTAGAACTGTGTCCAAAGGACACGGATGCCCCCACTGACAACATATATATGGTATATAGTGAAAAAATCAACAAAGGGCCATAATTCTGTTAAATTTGGTGGCAGCAAAAATTCCTTCCTTGACCTTCATCTACACATTGAGGTTGTTCATCCCTGGAAGTTTAAGCAAAATCTGCCATCCGGTCTAAGAGGAGTTGCGTTCACAAAATTTCTATATAGTATATAGTGAAAAAATCAACAAAGGGCCATAATTCTGTTAAATTTCGTCGCAGCAAAAATTCCTTTCTTTAGTACCATCTACACATTAAGGTTGTTCATCCCTGGAAGTTTAAGCAAAATCTGCCATCCGGTTTAAGAGGAGTTGCGTTCACAAAATTTCTACATAGCATATAGTGAAAAAATCAACAAAGGGCCATAATTCTATTAAATTTGGTCGCAGCGAAAATTCCTTCCTTTACTACCATCTACACATTAAGATTGTTCATCCCTTGAAGTTTAAGCAAAATCTGTCATCCGGTTTAAGAGCCTAGTTGCGTTAACAAGATTTCGGTACGTACAGACGGACGGACGTACAGACAGAAGGACGGACAGTCAGAGTGCAACGCTATGTGGGGGCATAAAAATTTACAGAAATTTATATAGTAATGCTGATGTTATTGGGGATAGAAATATTAATGATTTTCTTAACAATACAAATAATATATATATACAAATTATCAATAGAACAATCAAATAGTCTAGAAGGACTCATAATCTTTCTCTGAACTGTCAAACACTTTAAATAATATGAAAAATGACAAAAGTCCAGGCGCAGACGGTTTTACAGCTGATTTTTATAAAGTTTTCTGGTCAAAAATTGGTCATTTTCTTTTGAGAGCAATTATTTATGGATTTATAAATGAAGAATTGTCAGTGACTCAGAAGCAAGGAATTATTAGTTGCACTACTTGCATTAGTGAAAAAATCAACAAAGGGCCATAATTCTCTTAAATTTGGTCCCAGCGAAAGTTCCTTCCTTTACTACCATCTACACATTAAGGTTGTTCATCCCTGGAAGTTTAAGCAAAATCTGCCATCCGGTTTAAGAGGAGTTGCGATCACAAGATTTCGGGACGTACAGCCGGATGGCATCATGGACGGACGTACGTTCCAACATTTGGGTTTAGGGGCTATTTTCTTTGTTATTTTCTTTGTTTTCTTAAGGGCTACTAGCCCATTAAGCCTTTGATCACAGAAGGAACCTATTGTTCTTTTTTGTTCTCTTTTCTGTTATCATAGCCCCTTAACCCAAAATGTTTGCGTGGACGGACGGACGGACAAGTGCAATGCTATATGCTCCCCACTTTGTGGGGGCATAAAAACTGACAACCAATTACCCGTTTAAATATTGTTTATAAATTAGCGTCAGGATAAATAGCCAATAGATTAAAAACAGTTTTAGATTCATTGATTTCTTCTGATCAAAATGGTTTTATAAAAGGTAGATTTATTGGTGAGAACATAGTATTACTTTTATTATAATGATGTCATGAACTACACAGAAAAACATAAGATTCCTGGAATGCTATTGATGACAGATTTTGAAAAAGCTTTTGATACCTCGTCTTGTAATTTCATAAATAACATGCTCTCTTTCTTCAATTTTGGTCGAATGTTTAAACAATGGATATCTTTATTTATGAACTAGAAATGTGTCCATAGGACACGAGTGCCCCAACCGCGCCACTGTTCTGTCAAGGGCAATAACTCTAACAAAACTGAAAAAATTCCACATGCTAAGTCCCAGGTGCATAGCTTCACAGTGATGTGAATCATTATTTCTGTAATTTAGTGATGTTGGTCATTATTCCTGTAAAGTTAGTTGATTCAATGAACAAATAACAACATAATGAAACGGTTTTTACTATGTCAAGGGAAATAACTCTACAAATAATGGATACAGCCACAAGCAAAACCCCAAATGCAAAACTAATAACAGTCAAACTTGTATTAAGCGACCACACAAGGGAAACATCCAAAACGGTCGCTTAATGAAACGGTCTCTTAAGACAAAGCATGATATAAAAGTCAAAATTTATAGATGGCATCTTTCTTATGCGATGGGAATGTTTTTCAACTTCATTTTTATATAAATGTTGAATAATTAGTACGCTCCGATAATCTAAATGGATGCTAATGTAAAAAATATCTTTCTGATATTTATTGACAAAACAGTTTTGATCCATTACGTACATGTTTGACATTTTTTCGAAAATTTTTTAACTTCTCCGTTGTTTTTCCTTTACTCCAACACGAAAACCCTATTAATGAAGATGCTTTCTGTTGTGCATTTTTCATTAGAAATAAACAACTACATCTTATTGTTACAATTAATTTAATTGCTGATCAAGTTCAAGGTCAATTCAATGCAGTCTTAATGTCAACAAGCGAAGCGTATGCACCATCTTTAGAAGTAGAGACGAGCGTTGCATTGTTTTTTCAATATTATTGGATAAAACACGTCACGCATATACTTAACTTCATTTGCATACACTAAAACGGTTTGGGAAACAGAGTTTTTCACACGTTTACTTGTTGTGTTTGATTTTTGACACTTGTGACTTTGCGAGGCGGCGTTCTCTAAAAACACAATTACTTGACGGTAAATGTGGTCGTTTAATGAAAAGATTGATCTCAATTAGGTGACTAATTAGCGGTCGCTGGTCGCGATGAGCAAAAGTCGCTTAATACAATAAAGATATAGAGAGAAAATGATCGGGGGGAATTTAAAGTGGTTGTTTAAGACAAAAGTCGCTTAATACACGTGGTCGCATGGGCAAGTTAGACTGTATGCTGAGCAACCTTCCTGTAAGATTCAATGACTCTATGTCAAATCTTTTTTGAGTTACATACGACACAAGTCGAAAATTGCAAAAAATTTCTAAGTCAAAGGCAATAACTCTAAAAATACTAAATAAATCCAGAAGAAAATACCCAGGTGCACAACTACACATGCTGATCAACATTCCTGTAAACTTTCATGACTCTATGTTAAATCCTTTTTGAGTTAGTCATGCGACACAACTTGAAAATTGCAAAATTTTACTAAGTCAAGGGCAATAACTCTAAAAATACTAAAAATATCCAGAAGAAAATACCCAGATGCACAACTACACATGCTGATCAACATTTCTATAAAGTTTCATGACTCTAAGTCAAATACTTTTTGAGTAACATGCGACACAAAAGAGAACGGACGGACAGAAGGATGGACGGACAGAAGGATGTACAAGGGTAAATCTAAATGCCACTTAAGTGGGGGCACAAAAATGTAAAAAACAGCTGCTGTACAGTTAAATGGATTTCTCTCTGACTTCTTTGAAATAGGGAGAGGCTGTCGTCAAGGAGACCCCATAAGTCCATATATTTGTAAATTTGAAAATTACTTTTTAAGCCAACGTTCTTTAAAACCAAGTTTATGATTCCGTTTTCTTGACGATATATTTTGCATATGGAGTAACGTTATTCCCTTGATGATTTGAATGTTTTCATTGATAGTTTGAATAACTTTCATCCATCTATAAAATTTACAGCGAACGTTTCTAAATCTCTCATATCATTTTTAGATGTAAACCTTTCATAAGACAAAAACAATATTAAACACACTGATATACATGTTAAAGAGACAGATAATAATCATCAGTATTTAGAATACTCTTCCTGTCACCTAGACTAAGTGTCTTGTAAAAATGGTATTCCGAACAATCTAGGGAAACATTACCGCCATATCATTTCTGACGATGTTTTCAATTTACAGAATTTGCATAAATACTTCAAAGAAAGAAATTATCCTATCAATGTTATTGATAATGCACTTAGTAAGGTTTCATGTCTAACACAGGATGAGGCCCTGTGTACTAACAAGAAAACAAGTGATGGCAGTGTTATTCCCTTTATTGTTGAGTATAACCCAATTTTACCTAAAATTAGTAAATATCATTAAAAAGTATTGGGATTTACTTGATCTTTCAAGTAAATGTTCTGTGCAAAAGCTTCATGAAAGTAAACCTTTGGTTGCATTTAAAAGACCTAAAAATCTTAAACACATTCTTGTTAATTCTAATGTAAGGTCTAATAACAACAAGAAATCGAACGAAACATATGCCCCCATCTAGTCCTTGACCACATTATTGGTTATTTTACTATAGAAACTTGCCATAGATGGGTACATGGAAGTGTTCAGTTATGGAAAAAAGAAAAATAGTGAAGACTTTGTGATAGTTTTCAAGATAATTAGAGGAAACCATTCTGACATTTTAAGGTCCCTGTGATCTTGACCTTTGAACAAGTGACCAAAAATCAATAGGGGTCATCTAATAGTTATGACCAATCAATATTAGAAATATGAAAACTTTGACTTTGTGATAAATAGTAACCAAGATAATGAGCTGAAACCATTCTGACATTTAAGGCACCTGTGACCTTGACCTTTGACCAAGTGATCCCAAAATCAATTTGGGTCATCTACTAGTTACTACCAATCAATATGTGAAATATTAAGACTTTGTGAAGATAATGAGCAGAAACCATTCTGACATTCACCTGTGACCTTGACCTTTGACCTAGTGATCCCAAATCAATAGGGGTCATCTACAAGTTATGACAAATCACAATGTGAAATATGAAAACTTTGTGATGAATACTTTTCAAGATTATAAATCAGTGAAAACCTTTCTGACATATAAGGTCCCTGTGACCTTGACCTTGTGACCCCAAAATCAATAGGGTAATCTACTCTATGACCAATCACTATTGTGAAATATTAAGATTTAGTGATACATAGTTTTCAAAATAATCAGCGGAAACCGTTGCTATGGCAACAAATAGACTGAATTTCAAGATTTCTGATTCTAGTTTTAACGTTTTTTCATTATAAGTTCTTTATTTCTTAAGGTATTTACTTCAAACTTTAAATATAAGTTTCTGGTCATCAACTACATCATATGTGACAAGGTTTTCAATTTCACATAGTGATTGGTCATAACGAGTAGAGGCCCCTATTGATTTTGGGGTCACAAGGTCAAGGTCACAGGGGCCTTAAATGTCAAAATGGCTTCCGCTGATTATCTTGAAAACTATGTATCACCAAGTCAAAATATTTCACAATAGTGATTGGTCATAAAGAGTAGATGACCCCTATTGATTTTTGGGTCACAAGGTCAAAGGTCAAGGTCACAGAGGCCTTAAATGTCAGAATGGTTTCCGCTGATTATTTTGAAAACTATGTTTCACTAAGTCTTAATAATTTCCACCTGTTGTTTTATACTTGACTTACGCTGATAGCAAGTTATCTCTTCTATTTGTTCTGCAATTTTAACAAGATATGTTTGTAAAACATTTATGCTTCCTATTGGAAGCCAATTAGTCATGTGGTCAATTTATGAAGTGTTGTAAAGTTATTGATAGGAAACTGTTTTTACCTACAAGGTCAATGTGACCCTGACCTTTGACTTCAAAATCAATAGAGTTCATCTTCTGGTCATGAACAATCATCATAACAAGTATGAAGTTCCTATGCCTTAGCGTTCTTTAGTTATTGATCAGAAACCATTTTTACCTACAAGGTCAATGTTATTTTGCAACAATCTTAGATGAGGAGTGCAGTTACAAAATACTTACATACTTTGAGGCCTTTTTTTATTTATATCCTAACAAATTGCATTAATTTGGTCAGTATTCATCAAGTTTAACAAACACGTTATTTTTCTTTTTGTTAACTATTTATGTGATGAAACAAATCATACAGTCAGCATTTATTTATCAAAAACTAATGCAAAGTATTCATTCAAAATTACCAATGACTTGAAATGCCATCCAACTTGAAACTTTTTATTGTGAGGCTGTGCTAAAATGATGATAATATAACAACTATGGTGATGATGATAATTATGATTATTATATATCCCCCATCAGACATGTTGACCTTTTAATTAATCTCCAAGAGTGACATTGACCTTTTGACATTGACCTAGGACTGGTAAGGGTCTGGCTGTTGTGCATGACACACTGTCTTTTTATGGTGAACAATCATGCAAGGTTGTTCAAAATCCCTTGAAGGATATAAAAGTAATAGAGTGGATCAGACAATATTGACACTTTGATCTCCAAGTGAAACCTTGACCTTGGAGGCATGGGTATTGTTGTTGTGTATGACACTTGGTATTATCATGGTGATCATTTATGCAAAGTTATTTCAAAATCCCTTGATGAATGGCTGAGATATGGATGGATGTGAGCACATTTTCGGTTCAGGTGCTTTTTCTTTGATTTTTAAGAATCATTTTTGGAAATAAACCAGTAAAATTACCACATAAACTAAATGATTTATATGGTTTCCTTCATATTCTACACCAAAACTATGGACAAAATGAAGCCCACTAAAATATTTGGAAAACTTTGTTGGTAAGTTGTATGACTAAAATTATATGTCAGATTAACTTTGACGTATGAAAACACTGGTCACATGGAAATATGCTGTTACAATGAAATAAATGGTGATGCAAATTTAGTGATGTTGACTCAGGCTTTAGCAGTATATCTATCAAACTTACCCATCTGGTAATGGTTGCTCAACAGCAGCTAGCAATGGAAGAATAAATGGATGCAAAATTCTGGATGTAATCATTTCCTGAAAATAAACAATATGATACTATGACTTTTATTCAATGCTTTAAAGCCTTGAAAAAATTTGATATATCTGTAAAGCATGATTACTCAAGATTCCACATTGGTACAGACTTATGCCAAATGGTACTGACTTGAGCCGCATCCCAATTCCATATTGGTATTGACTTATGCAATATCCCAATTCCACATTGCTACAGACATTTGCCATATCCAAATTCCACATCTGTACCAACTTATGCCATATCCCAATTCCACATCAGCACACACTTATGAAATATCCCAATTCCACATCAGTACTGACACATCAGTTGGCATACCTAAACAAGGGCCATATCTCTGTGTCTTAGAGTCTGACCAGAACAAGGCCACAATATGTGCATCTCCTTTTGGTAATGATGGTTCCCAAAAATGTTTAGTTAAATTCCAGCCAATAATTGCAGAGAAATAGGGTGGAGGATTGTAACTAAAAGAAGAGCATAAGGGTCTCCAGGGAAACTCTTCACTGGTTTATAAGATATGAGGATGCATGCAGAATTTTAACAAAGTGCTTTGCTAACAAAACAGCAGGTTGAGCAAAACACCTTTGTTTATCTTCCTATAACCAAGCTAAAAGCTGCATGTATTTTAAAGTAAATACCTACCCTTCTAATTGTGGTTGCTGAAGGTCCATCACAAGGTATTTTCTTGACAACAACATGTATCCCAAAGTCCTCTGATTTAGATTCACCTGATGATATATTTCAAAATAAGAGGTAAATTAAGAAACACAACATGTGTTTGTGCTATGGGTTTGCCCTGCTTTGAATTTGCATACACATAAATTGAGATATAAGCACTTAACAGAATAGCTCACACTTAAAAGCTTCTGGATCAAGCATTATATGCAGCTAACCAGGGTATACTGGAAATAAATCAGATTTTGTGATAAAAGTAATCTCTTTAATATTAAAACAATATTGTCGTAAATCAAGTGTTTTTTCATTTTATTTTTTTGTTGGGTTTGACATCTCACCAACATTGTCAAGGTCACATGGTGACTTTAAAGCTTTACTTGTAGAAAAAGACCTCAGCTGCCCCTCTGTGCATTATTTTCAAATGGTCAGACTGACTGACTTAGTAAGCTCACTATTTTGTAATGCCCCTGTCAAAATAAACCTAATAGTCAGGCCCCTACACGGATAGACAAACTTGTCACAAAAAAGGCACAAACCCTTCAGTAGTTATGGAGTACCAGCTTAAACGCAAAAACTTAACCAAGAATTTGTAAGTCAAAAATGGGGCATAAATATGAACAAGAGCATCGCTAGGCGGAGCATTAAATGCCCGAAAGTTTGTTTTTTTCTTTACAAAGGATGAAGCATTTGTAAGACATTACATAAATTAAATAAAGTATTACCTTCTTCAAATAGCAATCCGCCTATAAAGTTTGAATATTGTGGGCGAAATGGAACTTCAGTTATGCTCTGGAAACTGTTTTTAGTTTTGAGGTAATAGCTACCTTGAACTTTGACCGTGTGACCCCAAAATCAATAGGGGTGTTCTATCCAATATGGACAATCATCCTATGAAGTCTCAACACTATAAGCCAAATAGAAATTCTGGAAACTGTTTTCAGTTTTAAAGTAATAGTGACCTTGACCTTTGAAATTGTGACCCCAAAATCAATAGGATTATTCTACCCTACATGGACAATCATCCTATGAAGTTTGAATATTGTGGGACAAATAGACCTTAAGTTATGTTTTGGAAACTGTTTTCAGTTTTAAAGTTAAAGTGACCTTGACCTTTGACCTTGTGACCCCAAAATCAATAGGGGTCTCCTACCCAATATGGACAATCAGCCTAAAGTTTGAATACTGTGGGCCACATGGAACTTAAGTTATGCTCCAGAAACTGTTTTCATTTTTAAAGTAATAATGACCTTGATCTTTGACCTTGTGACCCTAAATCGATAGGGGTCTTCTACCCAATTTAGACAATCATCCTATGAAGGTTTAACACTGTGGGCCAAATGGAACTTAAGTTATGCTCAAGAAACTGTTTTCAGTCTAAAGGTCATAGTGACCTTGACCTTTGACCTTGTGACCCCAAAAACAATAGGGGTCTTCTACCCAATATGGACAATCATCCTATGAAGTTTGAACACTGTTGGCCAATGGAACTGTAGTTATGCTCCGGAATCTGTTTTCAGTTTAAAAGTAATAATGACCTTAACCTTTGACCTTGTGACCCCAAAATCAATAGGGGTCTTCTACCCAATATGGACAATCATCCTATGAAGTTTGAACACTGTCGGCCAAATGGACCTTAAGTTATGCTCCGGAAACTGTTTTCAGTTATAAGGTCATAGTGACCTTGACCTTTGACCTTGTGACCCCAAAATCAATAGGGGTCTTTTACCCAATATATACAATCATCCTATGAAGTTTGAATGTTGTGGGCCAAATGGAACTTAAGTTAAGCTCTGGAAACTAAATTGCTAATGGACGGACGGACATTCTTGCCAGAGCTACATTATGGGGTTTTCTTTTGTTATTTCTTTTGTTCTTTTTAACCCTACAATGCAGAAAATAACCCCACAAGAGAAATGGAATGAATGGCATCAAACACATCTATTGTTAAGAGAACTAGAACTGCCACTATCATGGCGTGAATACCCCCGCATACCACTTTGTCAGAATCAACAGTGGCCATTTAGAGCTCAAGGACAACCTCCCTGCCAAATCTGAGGTTACTAAGCCAGTGCATTGCTAAGTTATGTATTCTACATGCTTCAAATGTGAAAATGTCAAAATCAATACATTCGGACAGGACATTCTTTAGCAGTTGAGAAGAAAAGCTTATTTTTTTGTCAAGGTCCCTGTGACCTTGACCTTTGACCCAGTGACCTCAAAATCAATAGGGGTCACCTTATAGTCATGATCAACATCCATGCCAAATATGAAGACTGTGGGTCAAAGGAATCTTAAGTTAATGGGTGGACAAACTTTTTGAAGTCAAAGTCCCTATGACCTTGACCTTTGATCCAGTGACCTCAAAATCAAAAGGGGTCATCTACTAATCATGATCAACATCCATGCCAAATATGAAGACTGTGGGTCAAAGGAATCTAAAGTTATTGGGCAGATAAACTTTTTGAAGTCAAAGTCCCTGTGACCTTGACCTTTGACCTGGTGACCTCAAAATCAAAAGGGGTCATCTACTAATCATGATCAACATCCATGCCAAATATGAAGACTGTGGGTCAAAGGAATCTAAAGTTATTGGGCAGATAAACTTTTTGAAGTCAAAGTCCCTGTGACCTTGACCTTTGACCTGGTGACCTCAAAATCAATAGGGGTCATCTACTAATCATGACTAACCTCCATTCCAAATATGAAGACTGTGGGTCAAAGGAATCTTAAGTTATTGGGCGGACAAGCTTTTTGAAGTCAAGGCCCCTGTGACCTTGACCTTTGACCTGGTGACCTCAAAAACAATAGGGGTCATCTACTAATCATGACTAGTCTCCATGCCAAATATGAAGACTGTGGGTCAAAGGAATCTTAAGTTATAGGGCGGACAAGCTTTTGAAGTCAAGGCCCCTGTGATCGTGACCTTTGACCTGGTGACCTCAAAGTCAATAGGGATCATCTACTAATCATGACTAACCTCCATGCCAAATATGACGACTGTAGGTCAAAGGAATCTTAAGCTATTGGGCGGACAAGCTTTTTGAAGTCAAGGCCCCTGTGACCTTGACCTTTGACCTGGTGACCTCAATATCAAAAGGGGTCATCTACTAATCATGACTAACCTCCATGCCAAATATGACGACTGTAGGTCAAAGGAATCTTAAGTTATTGGGCGGACAAGCTTTTTGAAGTCAAGGCCCCTGTGACCTTGACCTTTGACCTGGTGACCTCAAAATCAATAGGGGTCATCTTACTAATCATGACTAACCTCCATGCCAAATATGAAGACTGTAGGTCAAAGGAATCTTAAGTTATTTGGGCGGACAAGCTTTTTGACGTCAAGGCCCCTGTGACCTTGACCTTTGACCTAGTGACCTCAAAATCAATAGGGGTCATCTACTAATCATGACTAACCTCCATGCCAAATATGAAGACTAAGGGTCAAAGGAATCTTAAGTTATTGGGCGGACAAGAAAAAAACCGACGGACGGACGGCCGGACGGACGGACAGCCGGACGGACAAGCTGATTCCAGTATACCCCCCTTACAACTTTGTTGTGCGGGGGTATAACAATAGACCAAATCCCATATTATGTAGCTCTGGTTTGTACAGACGGAAAGACAGACGGACGTCCAGACAGACAGACAGACGGACGCCAGGGAGTATTACATAATATGCCCCAAATTCTTTCGGGCATATAAAAAAAGCAAATCAGAGTTATGGGATTTGTGCCAGTCATCTTAGATAATCACAGAGAACAAGTGTGTGAAGTTACAATCCATTCCCTTCAGTAGTTATGGAGATACAAGCTTACATGCAAAAACTTCATCAAGAATTTCTAGGTTGAAAAAGGGGCATAAGTAAATAAAATAGCAAATCAGAGTTATGGGATTGTGCCAATCATGTAAGATAATCATAGAGAACAAGTGTGTGAAGTTTCAATCCATTCTCTTGATTCCAGCTTACACGCAACAACTTAACCAAGAATTTCTTAGTTGGAAAATGTAGGACAATTGGATCAAAAACCAACACAAATTTAGATATCAAAACATGTTTCGCTTTATTTAGCTTCCTCAGTTGATATACAAAAGGGGCATAATTATGCTAAAAAGCAAATCAGAGTTATGGGACTTTTTTCCAATCATGTTAGATAATTACAAAAAACAAGTGTACGAAGTTTCAATCCATTCCTTTCAGTTGTTAAGGGTATACCACCTTACATGCAAAAAAGTAACCACAGGGACACCGATGCCGACAAATGGTTGACTGCATTATCTTGATTATTCTGCAAATAGTGAAGCTAAAAGCATTTTTTTTGGTGGGTTTTAAGTTGCACTAACATGGTTTAAGTCATATGGCATGAAAAACTGAGGAGAATCACTGATGTTTTGCTATATACTTTTTTCCTATATGCTAACAATTTCTCTGCCAGAATATCAACATAACCTGTAAGTCCCCTAGACACAGGCATAATTTACTACTATATGTAATACTATATGTTTATCTCTATAAACATAAAATAATCAGATTTACATTAACAACACAACAAAATAATGACTGTGGTCTTTTGTCTTTTATGCATTAGATAAATAAGTCTTTATATAAGGCTGATGAATTTTTGTACTTACTTTTATATACTTTTCCAAATGAACCCTTGCCGATTTCTATTATATTTTCTCTTCTTAAATTTTCAATAACATCCTGTGTAAGTATGAGTAAGCGACCATCATACAAACATGCATCTTTAAAGGACCTTTGACCCCTATCCAAAATTGACTGACCCCTAGATACAGGTGGTTGACCTCCATCCACACTTGATTGATCCCTAGATACTGAACCCCCATCCACACTTAATTGACCCCTTGATACAGGTGGTTGACCTCCATCCACATCCATTCTTATATGTCTCCCATCCACACTTGATTGACCTTCATCCATTCTTAAATGTCCCCCATCGACACTTGATTGACCACCATCCATTCTTAAATGACCATCATCAACATTTGATTGGAATCCACTGATCGTTTGTGGAATTTCCTGTACACCTTGCAAAGGCTGCAGCTGCCTATTATTAGCAAACTGACCCATACTGTTCCGACTCTCTTGCACACCTTGCATTGGCTCAGAATGCTGAATTGTTCTAAAGTCATCATTAATATCAACATCCATTCTCTCTCCTGAAGGAGATTTAATTGTTATATATGAAGGTTTATTTCATTGTACTCAATATATCAATAATAAAATAATCACCAGTAAAATATAATATAAAATTATCGCAAAATCGTCCAAATTAAATTGTCCATTTAAGGTAGCTCGCTACTTTCCGACCGAAATTTGACAATATATCAGATCTTGATGATTTTTGGTATACAGACATGTAAATATGTAAGCTTTACTTCTGTAGCATTATTTTATAGATAAACAGCGTTACTACGACGTCAAAATGCCCTCTATCGGTGGCGGCGAAATTGCGTCTTTTTTATCAATAAACCGGTCTGTTCTTATCAATTTTCATCCGATTTCCTTCATTTTAATTTTATAATGTTCAGTAAATGTATGTCTTTGTAATGATGTCTTTCTTGAACATTTGCTTAATACTCTGCGATTCTACGTTATTTTCCCTCACGTTCTGACGTCCATATTTGATGCAAATATCGCGCGATATCACAATAAAGATTGTGAAATAATAAAAAATCAAAACGGTGAATTTTGCTTTAATTTTTTTAACATGTAGTGAAGTCATAAAAGAAAATCATTATGCAATAAAAATATAGGGTCAACGCGTAAGATATTTTGCTATTACTATTTGAATATAAAATAAAGGGTGAGTAAAACGTAATGATTTTGGCGACGTCAAATATTTTTCTCAAGGAAATTTTCACGACTTTTTCGATAAATATCATACTGACAGGAATAAAAATGTGTGAAAACCATCAACAACAATAGTATTTAGACATGTTCCGTAAAAATGATTTTTTTAAAAGTCCTGTCAGATGCCTGCATTTCGATGAATATCTTCAATTATATACATGTACAACAAATCAGGGTAAAACTGTCTGCAAAAGTTGGTATCAATCTCTGAAAAACTGCAACGAATGGATATAAATACCTCGAGGACTGAAAGACAATTCAGAATATTGAAAAATATAATTAAAAGGCCACCTAAGTGGAAATTATAAAAACATAAATTTTGCAAAGAATGTCAGAAAAAAAGACTGAAAAGGCTGGTGCAGTCGCAATGTCATCATGTTATGTGTATCCCGGTACAAACTTCCATGTTATCATATGTAACAATTTTGAATTGTATAATTTTTATATCAGTTAGTAGGAACAGAGACATAGATAACATCTATGTCTCTGGTAGGAAACGAATCAAATTTACGTTTCAAAAATATATGATCAACTGGAAGTAGCAACGATTTGTACGTAAGTCATGATTCACTGGTAGTCTTAATTATATTATAAAATCTAGCAGACATTAAATTCAAAAATTTCTACACGTATAAAAATTTATTTATTAACAGCCATCAGTTATTCTATTTTCTCTCGCAGCTAAATACCCTACACTAAGCGTGAGACTCAGATTTAAAGCAGGAATCACGCTCTCATGCTATGGCTTGAATTTCTCACGTATTTCACATAATTACAGATATTCTTATATATTTTAGAATAGCTGACTCGCGGTATGCGTTTACTAGCGCATCTTTGAGGGGACCTGAAGCTGCGATCATTTTTCGATTAGAGGCGAAATATCCGTTGATTTATTTTGTATGTTCAGAAGCGGAGAATTTTGCATATTAAATACAGATGCCCTTGTACTGAAGGCAATTATGTAGGATTCTCAATTTGTGTGATTATGGTTGTGGGAGAAGCTCGTTTTTTGTCTGCACATAATGCAGTGCTATGTAGAGCCTATCAAAATAATGAACTATGCATTTTATGTTTTATATCTTCTTATTTTTCTAATATTGGGTTTAACGCCGCTTTCAACAGTATTTCAATTATAGCGGAGGGAATTTAACGAAACCAGTGTTTCTCACAGTATCAACTTCTCTTTGGAAATGAATGACAGGAGTCCGAGGTGGACCTTGAAACATTTCATACACAGTAAACAATTCTAAAGGATAATCTATTAGTACAATACGCAATCGTGTCTCGAATCCATGCCTTCCGAATTCAGCGTAAGACCACTTTACCGATTACAACGTGGCAACAGAAAAATATTCAAAATTAAAAACCTGATTATGATCTCCCTTAATAAGGGAGAAGTCCATTTTATTGCTAACATTATAAGCACGTGTTTTTGGTGTGTGTTTTGAGGTTGTTTATTTTTTTCTTGTTTTTATTTTTTTATTTTTGTTTTAAAGCAAACTGTATTATATTAAAAAATGAACAAGATAACGTCAACATAATACATTATTCGTATTCAGTGGTAACAAAAGTTGCACAAGTTATTTAATAATTATATTTTGTATTTAATTAAAATATACAGTATAACCTTTACAGAGAAAATCCCTTTGTTGCCTAGAGTGGTTGCTCTACAGAGGTAAAATGTAGTGGAACTCTTTAGAAATAAATAATACTTTGAGCCCGCTATGTTATACTGTAATGAAAAAGCGGTAATAAATCCGAGTTGAGTAATGGTTATATTGGGTGTTTCACATTCGAGTCTGCAGTTGCGAATATGCTTATATTTTTTTTATTCAGTATGATTTTGCTTCCAAAATAGTTCATAGTTTGTCACATAAGTGCTCATTTTCTAATTATCATGACATTTTAATTAGATTATGATTATATAATCTATGTATTGCACAGACTTAAAAATGGTAAGCAAAAATAAAAATAAAATAAAGGTTTTTGTTTCTTGTACAGTTTGGTTTTAAATATTCTTAAAGGGACTCCACTGAGGTTGAAAACCCTTGCAGAAAGATATACTGGTATTTAAAAAGTCCCAGTATTTCCCAGTTATTATCCTAGAAAATTCCAGAATGTTAAAACCAGTCTTGGCTATTCTAGTAATGCCTAGGAAATACCAGTTACTGAGAACTAGGCATTTCTAATAATTTTTAAACAACTCATCAATTTCAAAGTTATACTAGGAATTGTAATTTATTTTCTGAGATTTCTAAGACTTAAGATTTTGCAAAATTCCTAGTCTTTAGGAATTACTTAGAATTTATCTTGTAGAACAAAATCCTTAACATCTGTGCTAAATTCCTTGAATCTTACATAAATTCCTAAAGACTAGGAATTCTCTTTGTTGAAAGTAAACATGTAAATAAAGAAGGAAGACAATAAAATTGAAAATAAAAATGTTTAAATAAAACAACATACTGATCTAGATCTATTTAATAATATTTTTCTAGGATTACTTTTATTATTATTATTTAATTGAAATTTAATAATCAATTGACCTTAATGGTCAACCTGCATTATGACAATTTTATCATTGGCCATTTAATTAATAGATAATAGGAATATATAATCCAAAAAGAAATAACAAATGTACAGGCACTCCAAGTAAATCAAAGACGTATTATAAACCTTAAGAAAATAATCAATAATTGACATCTGAAGTATGTAATTTTTATCAGTTGTGTAGAGCTATTTTTAGCGCTGTCAAATTGCATCCACTGATGTCATGCTTCAGTGCACAGGCTGTGTGTATAAACCACTTTATACACGGCTTATACTGCCTGTTGACATTTTAATTGATTGTGATTTGAACATATGTAGATCTAATTAGGGGTGGATTTAAGGTGATTATTATTGCATAGTTGAAAATCCCATGTGGCAAATAGACTCTTGTGCAGATTTTTTCACGTGTCAAATTTGTGCATTTCCAAATTTTCACGAGTCAAAACCCGAATCCCCGCCTGAATTAAAGTAGGCCTATATGTGGCAGGTCATATTTATGCTGACGGAAATTAACGATGATAACTTAGTCTTTACTTAACCAGCGAACCTTTACGATTATACTCGAGCAATTTCCGTATATTTACGCTAACCGAGACGAGCATAATTTCATGACGTATTTAATACGTATACTGATGACGTAGCAACACAATTGTTTTGGAAACTACTGTAGAGTGTGTCAATTCAAGCGCTTGTTGGGCTAAAATAATAGATTTGTGAAATAAAATTCAACGATATAATTGAAATTATTCAGTCATTGTATTGACGGCAAAAACAACGGAACTACACGAAATTTTGCGAATCAAGCACATGTTACTGACGAAGTACACAGGTTTATTACGTAGAACACAGGTTTATTGTGCGCGCAATATTCAAAGACGGCAGACACTTCGTCTCATATCGACAGTGAACTGATATCGTCTCCCCAATAAAGACATACAACGAGGAAGGTGAAATAGCCCAAGCAAATTATCAGAAGAAGACCTTCAAAGCTGCAATCGGTGAAATTCACTGTGAGTATTAGGCCTATCATAAATGCACTGTTTTTTTCCCAAACAGAGACGGCGTGTTTTATGACCTCTAGAAAAAATGAAGAGTCTAGAGATTATTTTAATGACATTTCTTCACTTCTAAAAGCATTATTTTGTAACAATTTGCCGACTGTAACAATAGAAATAATAGCGAGCTCTCGACGAGCTGGCCCGAAGGGCCTGCTCGCAAAAAAAAACGAGCTTTACGGTAACGCGAGTACCTGCTAAGTGATGGTTTTTGAAAACTTTCGTCCAAAGTACCGAATTGGACACATCGCAACCTTTCGATATTTAAAGATAACGATAAAAACTGAGGAATTCTGGCTGAAAACGGATGTGCATGTAGACTGGTCACCCGCGCACGTCTATGGGAACCATAATTGGACAGGGAACCAGAATAACGGAAGCTGTGTATAAATCAAAGCACTGAAAGTACTGTTGGAAGGAAATTTTCATAGAAATTCCCAATGTGTGTGAATTAAAAACAAAGGAATATGTGCAAGCTTCGATCTACAGCTTGCTGATTTGATGACACAAAATGTGACGTCATTGTTTCTGTTTTTGCACTACTCATGTTCAGTGGGCTGATAACTAGTTCTTGGCCCAGGGCCCCAAACCCATAAGTTGTGACACTCATAATCAGTTGAAATCATAGGTAATTCTGTTTCTAATAAGTGAATTAATAGATAATACTACTGCATTATGAACACAAAGAACCACTCAGTTTGACCTAAATCGGCCATGAC